TCAAAACTGACTGGAGGCAGCCAGGAGTGGGTGTTCTGCCCCAGGGAAGAACAGCCCAGTGTCAAACAGTTGGCCCTGAAAACATACATGCAAATAGCATTATATGGACCAGTTTATATTTAGGAATGTGTATATATGTATGTATGTATACACAAACACATGCACATACACATCTATGCATGCAAAAAATCATTAGTGAAAAAAATGCCATGAATTTGAAGGAGAGTGCAGATGGGTATGTGGAAGGGTTTGGAGAGAGGAAAGGGAAGGAGGAAATGTAATTATATTATTACCTTAAAAAAATGAACCAGGCAGTGGGGTACACTCCTTTAATTTCAGCATTCAGCAGGCAGAGGCAGGCAGATCTCTGTGAGTTCAAGGCCAGCCTGGTCTACAAAGTGAGTTCTAGGTCAGCCAGGGCTGTTACACAGAAAAACTCTGTTTCAAAAAAAACAAAAATAGGTAAATAAATAAATAAATTTTAAAAAGGCTTTTCTGGAAAAAAAACGAGGGGACTGGGAAGATTTATATTAGAATGCGAATGGCGTTGACAACGACAGTGAGAAATAAAGCATGTCGGGGCTGTTAGATGGCTCTGCAGGTAAAGCCAAGGCTGATGAGCTCAACTCAATCCTGGGAATCCGCATGGTGGTAGGAGAGAACCAGACTTCTGCAAGTTGTCTGGTCTTCACACTGGTGCAATGGTCGCCTTACTCCCCCACTTCACCCACCCCCACACATAAACAAGTAAACAAACAAACAAATAAATAAGTGTAGTTTAAAAAAGAAAGGTGTATTGTGCCCTGCTTTGGCATATTGATGTATTTTCCATAATTCTATAAGGAACAAAAATAATAACTGTCATCCTTTTCTTACCTCATTTCCCAGCATTGGTGGAAGCATCTCCTGGTGGATGTACCCTCACCGGGACTTCTTCCAGAATGAGCTTCTAAACTTTCAGGGCATTATTTTCAGTTTGCTTTTCCATGTGACTGATGATTCTGTGGAATTTCTCTCTTTTCTTAATTTCTATTTTCCTCTCCTTTTCTTTTGCTCAGCCACATTGGGATTATCATCGACAGAGGTAGGTCACAGTAAGAAGACTGGAATTTCCATCATTATTGCTTTTGAAGTTAAACGAATTGTATGAGTCTAGCACTGTTTGGGGGAGCATGCAGACATGAAACCTAGGGCCTCGTGCAAGCTAAGGGAGTGATTTGCATTGAGCTACACACACCTGAAGTCTGAGAGTGTTTTTTTCAAATGCATACTATTTTATTTGTGTGTGGGGTGTGTGTACATGAGTGTTAGGGTGTGCACACCCGAGCACATGCATTTGAAGGTGAGGGGAAGACTTTGGATGTCATCCTCTATTGTTCTATCCCTTATTGCTTTGAGACAAGTGCTCTCGCTATACCGGAAGCTTTCCTTTTAGGCTAGGTGGGCTGGCCAAGAGCTCCCTGAATCACCTGTCTCTAGTCCCCTAAACTGGAACTACAGGCACATGCAGCCACACCCAGTGTCCTGCCTAGGTGCTGCAGATTTGGACTCAGGTCCTCATATTTGCACAACGAATCCTCTTACCCACTGAGCCATCTTCCCGGTACCTTTTCAAATGTATTTCTAAAAAAAGTTTTAGACTAAAATTAGGCCTGTCATTCCAGCACTTGGTAATCGGAGACACTCAAGGCTAACCTGGCTGCACAGTGAGTTTCAGGCCAGCCTGGGCTACAAAGTGACACCCTGACTCAAAAAAAGAAAGAAAGAAAGAAAGAAAGAAAGAAAGAAAGAAAGAAAGAAA